CACCACAGCACATCACACCACACCACACCACACCACAGCACAACACAGCACACCATACCACAACACAACGCAACACACCACAGAACAGCACAACATAACACAACATTAGACAAGCCAACCCACCACACCACACACACCACACCGCAACGCAACGCAACACACCGCACTACACCAACACAATATAACACATCATATCACAACACACCCACGTCGCACCACACCACACTGCACCACACCACAACACATCACAATACAACACAGCACAGCACAACACAACACAACACTCTGCACCACAACACAACGCAACACGATCTTACACGCCACTGCACTACACTACATCACACCACACCTCAACGCAGCACAACACATCACAACGCAGAACAACACAACACACCACAGCACAACACAACGCGCAACGCAACACAACATATCACAACACAGCACAACACAGCACAGCACACCGCACCACAACACAACAAACACACCTCACAACAACACACAACAACACAACACACACGCATATGCCCCCCAACAAGTATGGTCCAGATCGTGGTCGGTGACACAGGAGTGCGAGCCACACACGCACACACACACACACGCACACACACGCATGCATACGCGCACGCGCACGCGCACTCGCGCACACGCGCACACGCGCACACGCATACCTGCGTACACACGTACACGCGCACGCACGCACGCGCGCATGCACGCACGCACGCACACATGCACGCACGCACACACAGACACATGCACGCACACTTTTTCGTCTGCGGCGAGGCGGCGAAGTCCGCACCAGCGAACAGCTAGGTAGGGGTATTAACTAGCGAATTGGCCGGCGTGCAAGGAGGGAGGGGGGAGGTCGGGAAGAAGGACGCTCATACGCCGAAGAATTCGACGATGAGCAGCCGGCGGGCAGCAGCAGCCAGGCGCGCAGGGCCAGAGCGCAGTGGGCGGCCGTGGCGAACCACGGTGGTAAGGGTGCCGGGAGTGGCAGCCAGCCAGAGGCTGGGGGAGCACAGGAGACACCGCGAGCGTCGTACCGCGGCGCCCCGAAGAGAACGCACAGCACTGAGACGTACGGGGGCGGGAGCAGCGCAAAGCAGGCAGCGACAAGGGCGCTGCAGCGTGACCGCCGGAGGCCAGGTGGCCGGAGGGCGGGGTAGGGCGGGAGGCAGCGGGCAGAGCAGAGCGCCCCAGGCGCCCGCGGGCTGCGGGGCGGACCAGCGGCGCGGGAGAGACGTGGGGCACCCGGAAGCGGCGACGCGACCGGACCGGACCGCCCAGCAGAGAGGGCAGTGGCCGCCCAGGGCAGGCAGGGAGCAGCACACACAGACACGCACACACACAGAGCGGCGAGCAAGCGGTCCGACTTGCCAGAGGCCGTGCCCGACGACTGGCCTGTACGGAGCCTTCCTCGAAGCCTTGGCATCATTGGCCACATGCAGACATCACACACATCTCATACGGCCCTTCAGCTGGACCACGTCGTCCTGCCCTCGCTCGGTCTTGTAGCGGCCGTAACGTTGTGGGCGTCCGCCTCCGCCCCTCGTGCGCCGCATCGCGGCGGGAGGGAGAGGTGGTTGGAGAGCCTGGTCGGCAAACCTGCTGCCGAGCCGCAGGAACGGATTATCATCCGAGAGGTGATCGTTGCGCGTCAGCGTGTGGTCTTCCACATTGGAAGCCATCACGCCCCCGGCCAGGTCGTCCACCCTTGCCCACGCCCTTATCCCAAGGCTTGCACATGGGGCACGCGTTTGCTGTCGTGGCCTCGTGACCCTTCCGGAACGATGCGGCTACTTACGCAACCTCAGCCTGCCATGTGCAGGAAGGGTCCACGGGCAACGTGAGGGGTACACGAGCAGTCCGAAGAGCGCGATCACCTGAGTCCTGCTGAAGCCCAGGCAGGGGCCCACAGAGTGCAGCCGTGAGGTCGAGCCCACTGCCACTCGTCCGAATTATTGACCACCTCGTACTCGTGATGCGAGGCGCACTCGTCAGAAAGTGCCCGTAGGACCCGTCTGCCAGGCGACAACAGCAGCAGTAGGAGCGTGAGCGAGTAAGGGGTGATGATGATGATGATGATGATGATGATGATGAGGAGGACGATGATGATGATGATGCTGATCGTAATGCTGATGATGGTGTTGATGATGATGATTACGATGATGATAGTGGCGACGGCGATGACGATGGTGATGCTGGTGATGATGATGTTGATAGCAATGATGATGTTTATGATGACGATGATGATGCTGATGATGACGATGATGATGATGACCAGCTGAGGATGACGGTGACGCTGACGATGACGATGATGATGTTGCGGATGATGATCCTGATGATGATTATGATGATGAAGATGATGATGATGATGATGATGATGATGATGGTGATGATGATGATGATGACGATGACGATGTTGATGATGTTGCTGCTGATGATGATGATGCGGATGATGAGTATGAAAAGTATGATGAAGGTGGTGGTGGTGGTGGTGGTGGTGTTGTGATGGCGATGACTTGACTGCGGGCAAGGCTGAGGATGCGGATGCATAGTTTTATGATGATGGTGAAAATGATGAGGATCGTGGTGATGATGATGAGGATGATGATGAAGGCGATGCTTATGATGTGATGCTGATGAGGGTGAGGGTGATGGTGCTGGCCATGAGGATGATGATGCTGCTGCTGATGATGGCGATGACGATGACGATGAAGATGATAATAACGAGGTGGAGTACATTTAGAATGACGAACCCGACCATGAATATGCTGATGATGATGATGCTGCTGATACTGATGATGATGATGATGATGATGGTGATGATGATGATGATGATGAGGGTGCCGATGCTGATGATGATGGTTATGCTGCTGCCTATGATGTTGATGGTAGTGATGATGATGCTGCTGATGATGATGCTGATGATGCTGAGGATGATGATGATGATGATGATGCCGATGATGGGGATTCCGATGGTGATGATGCAGGTGATTCTGATGATGAACATGATGATGGTGGTGGTAATACTGATGCTGATAATGGTGATGATGCGTCTGGTGATGATGATGACCTTGATGTTTGTGCTGATGATGATGAATATGATAACGATGACGATGATGATGAGGATGAGGATGATGAGGACGACGATGATGATGCCAATGCTGAGAATGATGATGATGACGATGATTAGGACGATTAGGATGATGATGATGATGATGATGGTGATGATGATGATGATGATGATGATGAGGACGACGACGATGATGCTGATGATGATGATGGTGTTGTTGATGATGATGATGCTGCTGCTGATGATGGTGATGGGGATGGTGATGGTAATGATGATTGTATGGTTTTGGTTAATGTGACGGTGGTGGTGGTAATGATGACGATGACGATACTCACGCTGCTGATGATGACAATGCTGATGATGATGATAATGATGATGATGATGATGATGATGATGATCGTGATGGTGATGATGTCGATGATGATGATGATGATTATGATGAGGATGAGGATGAGGATGAGGATGATGATGCTGACGTTGCTGTCGATGATGATGATGATGATGATGATGATGATGATGATGATGATGTTGATGATGATGATGATGGTGATGGTGATGATGATGATGATGCTGATGCTGATGCTGATGCTGATGCTGATGCTGATGCTGATGCTGATGATGATGATGCTGCTGCTGCTGCTGCTGATGATGATGATGATGATGATGATGATGATGATGAGGAGGAGGAGGAGGAGGAGGAGAAGGAGGAGGCGGAGGCGGAGGAGGAGGAAGAGGAGGTGTAGGAGGTGTAGGTGGGGAAGGGAGAAGGGTCAGGATGGGGAGGAGGAAGAAGACGAGAGAGGAGGAGTGAGGGACAGGGGGCTCCAGGGCGCCGCCGGCAGTCCCTTGCCGCTTCGGCTCCGGGCGCCTCTGCCGTCGTCGCCGACCCGGCCGCGAGGCGGCTCGAGCAGCTCGCGGCGGCCGCCAGCGGCAAGTCGGAGCCGCTGCTGGGGCTGCACCCCGCCTGCCAGACCTGCCGCAGCGGGGGGAGCTGCGGTCCTCACCCTCCCCTCCAATCAGGCGATCGCAAACATGGATCACGGGGGCGTGGATTAGCGACGGGTCCCGTTTCCATGGGAAATCGCGGATTTCCGACGCCGAACGACGCGGCACCGGCCGCATTTTGGGGAGGACACCTCCCCCGATCCATGGATTTGGCGACCGCGCGCCAGATCCATGGATCGCTGATTCATGTTTGCGCGCCACCCTCAGAGGAGGAAAGGATACCCATACCTCTACGCTCCCCTCGTTTCCTCTTTTTGGGAATCTTGGGCGGCCCTCGTTCGTCGTCACCGCCGGATTCGACTCGAAATCCTGGTCAGAACGCACCCCGGGAGAGGTCCGGAGAGTCGCGGTATCGGTACTTTTGGGTTTCCCCGCACCCTCGCCTTTCAAGCGGCGCGAGAGATAGATTGTCGGGGGCCCGCGCGCGCCACGAAAGCGGAGACCGTTTCGCAGTGCACAGCCCCCCCCCCAGGCAGGGCGAGGTCCAGTTTGAGTCTGCGTGGGACGTCACCCCGCTGGACCCCCCAGCAACCCCCAGGGACGGCGAGGTCTAATCTGAGGCTGTCTCCACTTTAGGGGCCGCATCCCCCCCCCCACCGTGAACCCAGCGGCGCCTCAGGCAGGCGCCGCTCCTTTGTGCGGTCCGTGCGCCAGGGCGAGGGGGGTCCAGGCGCCGAAGCAAGAAGCACGCGTGGAAAAACTTCGAACTCGGCAGAGGACCCGTCGGCTTCGGCACCCCTCTCGGGAGAGATTCCCCTGACTGTTCACTTTTGGAGAGTAGCTCCTGCCGATGTATGAAAGTGGTTCTGGGCGCTCTCGCCTCGACGCCAGGTGCATATTGTTTGAAACGAAGCTCCCGCTCGAGCGTAGGTGTCGGTCCCAATCCTGGCCCCGGACGGCCCAACTACGACGATAATGAGTCCCGCGTGAAATTTGTCACAATTTACTACAACACGCTCTGGCCAGAGAGGCCCCAAAACTCAGGAATGACGCGCTCGCTCGAGACTTCCTCGTAATCCAGTCAAGTAGGCGAAGAACCATCTACGACGAGAACGGGTCCTGCTTGAGACATCCTCACAATTTATTCCAGCACGCTCTGCCCAGAGAGGCCCCCAAGCTCAGGAAGGATGCTCTCGATCGAGACTTTAGATAAAGGACCATCAACTATGAGAACAGGTCTGGCTTGATATATCCTCGCAATTGGCGCCAACACGCTCTGGCCAGAGATGCCCCCGAACTCACGAGTGACGGTCTCGCTCGAGACTTCGCCTTTCAGTTGAGCAGGCGAAGGACCCTCGACGACGAGAACGTGTCCCGCTGGATACTTGTCATGACATTTGTTCTCCAATGGTCTCTGGCCAGTAAGGCCCCCTAACTCAGGAACTGTGCTCTCGCTCGAGACTTCCTTGCAATTCTTCTAAGCAGGCGAAGGACCATCTACGACGAGAGCGCGTCTCGCTTGATACGCCCTCACAATTTACTGCAATGCTCTCTGGCCAGAGAGGTCCCTCAACTCAGGAATTGTGCTCTCGCTCGGGACTTCCTGGCAATTCTTCTCAGCAGGCGAAGGACCATCTACGACGAGAGCGGGTCCCGCTTAATCCGTCTTTGCAGTTTACTCCAGTACGCTCTGGCCAGAGAGGCTCTCTAACTCGGGGATGACGCTCTCGCTCGAGCTTTCCTCGCAGTTCAGTTTAGTAGGCGAAGGGCCGTCTACGACGAGAACGCGTCTCGCTTGATACATCCTTGTCATTCACTCCCACGCGCCTTGGTCGGATGCCTTCTCACACTCAGGAAGGGCGCGACTGCTTCTCCCAGGAGCTGGTCTCAAAAACAGCCCTCCGAACACAAAGCTGGTTCATAGACTTAAAGGATGGGTGCAAAGGAAGTGTAGAAACACATGAAGCTCAAACCAGCTTGTTACTTAACAGGTTCTCAAGATCGTCGTCGTCGTCGTCGTCGTCGTTATCGTCATCTGTGTCACGCCGCATGTGGTAACTCAGCGGCCTGCCACGCCATGCTGCTGACCAGTGCCAGTGGCAGTGTACAATGCACCACTGATGTGCACGTTTTTTCGTTGTTGTTACCTAACAGCTTTTGCTGATAGGTTTCTAGTGGGCTCAAAAGAGAGCATCTTGACGCCCCAGGGGGTCTGGGCGGGATCCGGACAGATCCGGACAAAAGGGTCAGCCCCAAGAATCTTTAGTCGGGGGTGGACAGACCTCCTACCCTGACACGTCGATTAGTGAATTGTCCGTTTTCGGTTCTCGAGAGGGCGCCGCGGCCGTTATTTTCCAGGCTTGCGCCCGCCAGGTTTGGGCCCGAGGTCGTTTTCACTAAACCACGTTTTACTCAAGGGAGGTCTGTCCATCCCCGACTTAGGAATCATCAGGAATCCTTAGGAATTCTTAGGAATCCATTCCCAGAACACCATTCCCAGGCCACATTTTGAATGCCCGGAGCCAACTGTAGGCCACTTCGTGTTCTTCGTGTGCCCAGAACACCAATCCCAGGCCACATTTAGAATGCCCGGAGCCAACTGTAGGCCACTTCGTGTTCTTCGTGCTCCCAGAGCACCATTCCTGTACCATATTTTCATTGCCCGGAGCCAACTGTGGGCCACTTCGTGATCTTCGTGTTCCCAGAGAGCCAGTCTTGTGCCATACTTTGAATGCCCGAGCTGAGGCAGGCTGATGCCGAGGCAGGCTGAGGCCGAGGCAGGCTGAGGCTGAGGCTGAGACACGCCGAGGCAGGCTGAGGCTGAGGCTGAGGCAGGCTGAGGCTGAGGCAGGCTGAGGCTGAGGCTGACGCAGGCTGAGGCCGAGGCAGGCTGAGGCTGAGGCTGAGGCAGACTGAGGCTGAGGCAGGCTGAGGCTGAGGCTGAGGCAAGCCGAGGCTGAGGCTGAGGCTGATGCAGGCTGAGGTTGAGAGGCTGACGCTGAGGCTGAGGCAGGCTGAGGCTGAGGCTGAGGCCGAGGCAGCCTGAGGCTGAGAGGCTGACGCTGAGGCTGAGGCAGGCTGAGGCTGAGGCTGAGGCCGAGGCAGGCTGAGGCTGAGGCCGAGGCAAGCCGAGGCAGGCTGGAGGCTGAGGCTGAGAGCTGAGGCAGAGGCTCAGGCTGGGCGGAGGCTGTGTGGCTGAGGCTGAGGCAAGCTGCGGCCGAGCAAGGCTGAGGCTGAGATGCTGATGGAGGCTGATGCCAGGCTGAGGCTGAGGCAGGCAACTGCGGCTGAGGCTTGAGGCGAGGCCGAATGACTTGAAGGCTGAGCGAGGCTAGGCTGACAGGCTGAGGCATGCGGAGGCCGAGGCAGGCTGAGGCTGAGGCTGAGGCCTGCTGAGGCTGAGGCCGAGGCAGGCTGAGGCCGAGAGAGGCTGAGGCTCGCTGAGACTGAGCTGAGGCTGAGGCTGAGGCCGAGGCAGGCCGAAGCTGAGACAAGGGTAAGGCTGGAATGGGGGGGGGGGGGAAAAAAAAAAAAAAAAAAAAAAAAAAAAAAAAAAAAAAAAAAAAAAAACAAAAAAAAAAAAAAAAAAAGAAAAAAAAAAAAAAAAAATTAAAAAAATGTAAAAAAAAAAAAAAAAAAAAAAAATGGGGGGGGAAAGGTGGGGGGGAGGAGGGGAGGCTGAGGCAGGCTGAGGCCGAGGCAGGCTGAGGCCGAGGCAGGCTGAGGCTGAGGCCGAGGCAAGCCGAGGCAGTCTGAGGCTGAGGCTGAGGCCGAGGCAGGCTGAGGCTGAGGCAGGCCGAGGCTGAGGCTGACGCAGGCTGAGGCCGAGGCAGGCTGAGGCTGAGGCTGACGCAGGCTGAGGCCGAGGCGGAGGCAGGCTGAGGCTGAGGCTGAGGCAAGCCGAGGCTGGCTGAGGCTGAGGCTGAAACTGAGGCAGGCTGAGGCATCCGTAGGAATCCATAGGAATCCTTAGGACTCCTAAGGAATCCCTAGGAATCCTTAGGAATCCGTAGGCATCCGTAGGAATCCGTAGGCATAGTTAAGCATCCTCAGGAATCCATAGGAATCCTTCGGATTCTTCAGGAATCCTTAGGAATCCCTAGGAATCATGATTCCTAAGGATTCCCAAGGTTTCCTAAGGATTCCTATGGATTCCTAAGGATGCCTAAGGATTTCCATTGGATCCTGAGGCCGTTGCCACTGCGACTGTCATTGCGAATGCGACTGCGACTGCGAGAACAGCAGAATTCTACAACTGGATTCTCAACTGAATCTTAAGGGGAATGCGTACACATATGCTTATACACATCGCTGTTAGGTTGCGTTGTCGGGATATCTTTTTTTCTTTCTTTCTCTCTCTCTCTCACTCTCTCTCTTCTCGACATATATATATATGTATACATACAAGCAGTGCGCCTCCCCCGCAGGGAGCGTCCCCCACCTCTGTGACATCTGGGGTCAACTCCCCGTACCGCGCCCCCGGGCCTCCCAGGGAGGCCCTAAAACGCCCCAGTACGGCCCAAGACGCCACCAAGGAGCCCCCAGAACGCGAAAGGACGGCCCAAGACGCTCCAAGCAGCACAAGACAACCTTCCGACGGCTCTCCACGCTCCCAGGAGGCCTCCAAGAGGCCCCAAGAGAGCTCCGAGAGGCGTCCTGGGAGCGCCCGAAGAAGCCCAAATCGTTGATTTTCATTCCCAGCCTTCCTTATTTGGATATTCGTTTTGAATAGAGCACTGCGGTCGCGTCCTTCTCCTCCCGCCTCCTGCCTCCCGCCTCCTGTCTCCCGCGAGACCTCGCCGTCCCTGGGGGGGGGGCGGCGATCTGCGAAACTGTCGCCGCTTTCGAGGGCTGCTGGTGGGTCGGTCCAACGGAGTGAGGCACCGCGCAGATCTGAGCGAGGCCTCGCCGTCCCTGGGGGGGGCTGCGATCTGCGAAACTGTCGCCACTTTCGAGGGCTGCTGGTGGGTCCAGCGGAGTGAGACACCGAGCAGATCTGAGCTAGAC